CACACACACACATGAATATGAACCGTCCCCACACCTAAATGGACTGGTTGCTCACTTCCATATCTACCTGACTGCACCTTAGGAGCACTGAGAGGCAAATTCTCTTAATATGCTTTGCCTAAGAAGTCCTTGAAAAGCAGCTTGTGGGGGAGCAGAGAGAATATTTAGCATTTATTTTAAAAGGATGACGCCTACAACCTCAGAATGAGAATAAACCAGCAGGTGATCTGTATGTAAAACTGTGAATTACTTAAGTAAAGTAGGAGGAAACGAGAACCTTTGATTTTTAAAGCCTTTTAGAGTATAAACAACAACCTCTCCTGAGACCAATCTGACTTGCAGCAAAGCAAGTTCATCAGAGAAAACTGTGAATGATGTACACAAATCAACACGCCCACAAAGACACAAAAACAAGAAAACAAGGAGTGTGTGTGTGAGTGTGTGTGTGTGTGCGTGAGAAGATGAGAGGATTATCAACACACAGTTAATCTCTTTATTCCACTCAAATCTACATGGCTTTATAAAAAAGAAACACCCTAACTCTATGAGTGGCGGCACACACACAATGATCACCGTCATCACACAAGATGGAGGAAACACATCCTAACAGGTGTAAATTGCAACTAACACACACAATAAGGCCACAAACACACACACACACACACACACACACACACACACACACACACACACACACACACACACACACACACACACACACACACACACACACACACACACACACACACACACACCTTTCACAAGCATGTGTGCAGGCTTATGTGCCTTGAGCGTCACTTACACTGGGGGATCTAAAGAGATGTTCCCACCACTTTTTGAAATGGCTAATTTTGTACCCAGCACTTTTTTAAAGTATAATAATTTGCCAGCACTTGAACATGTACAATCTTGATAACAGTTTGCACTTGCTGGGTGTATTTCTGCGGACCCTGGTGGTGCAATTTGGACATGTGACACATTTGATATAAGTAAACTTTGAATGAAAAGTAAAAAAGCAAACATTGTTCCCGCTTTGCTGCAGCAGTGTTGCACAGGGACTGCACTAACTATCAAAGAAAGTAATTGAGGCTAAAAAGCTTACTGATTCTAAAATAACCAAAACACGTGCTGATCAGACACTTTAAAGAAGACATATCATGTTCATGTTCAGGTGTAATATCAGTAGTGTCTCTACTTTAAAGAGTCCTCTCCTGCTGATGTTCAGGTGTGTATCAGTAGTGTCTCTACTTTAAAGAGTCCTCTCCTGCTGATGTTCAGGTGTGTATCAGTAGTGACCGTACTTTAAAGAGTCCTCTCCCTCTGATGTTCAGGTGTTTATCAGTAGTGTCTCTACTTTAAAGAGTCCTCTCTGTACTCACTGCAGCTGAGCGAGGTGTCAGTCTGGGCGATGGAGGACTGGATGCTCCAGTGGTTGTTGTCCCAGTCGATCACGTTTCCCACCGTGTCGCAGCTCAGAGCGTTGAGCTGTGGGAGCGTCATGGCGTAGTCCCACAGCCGCAGATTGTAGATGTTCCCGTTGAAACTGTGCTGCCCTGAACACAGACAGGAGACACCGGGTTGGAAAGGGAAGTCCTACGTTTCTACCTTCTTCTGACTCTGTAATGCTGGTTTATTTCGATTTGAAAAAGCACCACTGTATGCTTAAGTGATAAGTAGAAATACTGAAAGGACTTTAATTAATTTCACTTTTTTTGTCATAGTTTAATATTTTTACAAATTTGATTATTTCTTGAATTGTGAACTTTTTTCTCAGAATCTTTACTTTTTTAAAGAATTTTTAATTTAGAATTTGACTTTATTTTTAAAGGAATTGCATTTTTTTGTCATAGTTTCATATTTTTTCATAATTTGACTTTTTTCTAAAGATTTCACTTTTTTTTAATTTTTTTTTTTCTCATAATTTCATTTTCTTCTTTAAATTTCACTTTCTCTTAAAATGTAAATTTTTTCTTAAAATTTGAATTTTTTTCTCAGAACTTCACTTTTCTTTTAAGTGATGACTTTTGGACTAGATGGGGTCTGAAAACATCAAGCCACATGAATGTCAAATGAATTGTATTATGCTACACAAATATGGTCAGGATCCGTTGAATTTTCTGAATGTTGGATTGCAGATTATAATTTTCCAAAGGGGGGTTCGTTTAGCATGAAACACTTGAAATGACTAAAGGATGAGTTAAAAAAGAAAGTAGAAAGAAAGTGAGGTCAAAGAAAACTATTTCTGTTTTGCCATAACAGAGGTATTAAACTAAATATTGAGACGTACCTCCTAACTTGAACTGCCCCCCGCCCGGCACCGAGTGTCCGCTGGAGGCCGAGCAGCTCTTGGCAGAGTAGTTCCCGTTAAAGTAGGCCGCCACGTGTCCGTTGGAAGAAGTCCAGAGAACGCAGAAAGGCTTCATGGTGGAGGTGAAGTTGGCGGAGGAGAGGATGGAGTCGATGGGACACTCCACCCCGTCCACGATCATCTTCATGCCGGACTTCTCCGAGCCCAGACTCAGAGCCACGTTGTTGCTGCTGTCCGAGTACGTGAAGATCCACTCTTTCTGTTGGGGGACACAAGGGTTAATGTTGTGGAAACACTGAATGTCCTCCTCCAACATGAGAGCCACATGCTAACAAAGGTATCAACTGTAGCTGTGAACATGACAGGATGTGTGATTACCTAGAAGAGCATCAGGACTGTTTGAGGCATATGATAGCTATGTGATTAACATGATGATTCAGCCTCTATGGAGAGAGACATATGACAAGCGCACAC